TCGGACAATCAATTAAGTACCATTAAATGCTTCAATTCGCTCCAGTGTTTGATACGCATAACATAAATTCACATTATCTTCCAAGACTTTCAATCTCATTCATTGCCAATTATCATTTCAATTTCCTGATCCTGGAATAAAAAAGGGGAGTAGTTGTTTTTCGAGTAACTTTTTTCGTTTCCAAATCAAGGTTGCTAGCCCTCCATATCATAGTACAGCAGATTGGTACTAGTACAATGATGCATAGTGGACAATAATCTAATGAACAGATTTATCAATCATGAAGTCCGTGCTTGGTGATACGTATCCCTTTAAAACGATCTTTAAATTTTTAACTCAAAGTACTAAGAGACCCTATGATGGTCCTGCCTCGTAGTTACAGTCCCAGTCTCCCTGAAGTCATGTATGCCAACAGTGCGGAGCAAATGGTTTCTTTATGACAGGCTCGCGTTCTGAATGCATAATCAGAATCTGGGGTGACATTGTTTTTCTGAACATGCTTCTATCTCCTATTCCTTACACTGGTATGTCACTAGTAGCAAAATGACATTATATTTGGATGATTAAACGCATTTATGTATATGATTCGATGTGTGAGCTCTTACACAACCATATTTTTAATTTCACATCGTTCAGTTATATTAACAGTGACGTGCTTATACCTACTACAAGTGAGGCAGATAATGACGAGGAATCCGCTTCGCATTGGTATATATACGTATTGATATTATATACTATACTTATATGCGTATTGACAGGCAATATATGGTCGAGAGGATAAATAACGGTGAGATTAATTTAAATTTTGCTGAACAATGCCATCCGAGGACTGGAATGAATATTCATGTTTAGTCGTGGTCACGATAAAGCGAATACCTACCTACTACCTATACCTACGGCATAGTAACGATCACGCGTTTTTGCGACATAGAGGACTGAGTGCTATTCGACATATTCAGTATTCAATATAGAATATTGATTCTGGTATGCGTGGGTAAGTCCAAAGAAGGAAATTTAAACATGAAGATGCAATCTAGACAGAGTAATATTTCACGTGGAATAATATAAGCATATACAGCGTATGAATAGTAAACCTCCACGAATATGAATTTTAAAAAATATATAATGACCAGTGGCTCGTAAGATCAACGCAATTTGCGTGGGAGCATTCCGTGATCGAACTGAGAGAAAATTGATTTTATCGTAGGCTTGCGGGTAGCGTTGTCATTTAATAAACTTCATTATGCGCCTCCATTATGTTATGGTTGCTCGTTCTCCAATATGAGGGAAAGTGGGTTAGACAAACTTGGTTATACTAAATGGCGGAGTCGGTTCAATATTATTGGGACTATAAATAGATCACAGCTTTGACAATGGAGTGAGCTAGAAAAAAAAGGTAAAGAGGATGCCGAATAACATTTTATTCAAAATTTTAGCGTCACCCGTTGTACGTATAAGGGTAAGACGAATCCTTTAAAGAAATAATGCTTATTTCAAAAATGTACCATGATCATCAAACCTGAAACTGATCTTACGGGTAGCCTATTTTGTTACCGGACTTATCTTCAACTACCCCTATGTGCATTTAGTATACCTAACCTATAAGTTGAGAGTTTTGATCGTTGCGTGATTCTTATCGTCACGTAATCTACCCATAATGCTTTTACGATCCTTCGCTACCCATGTCTGGCTAGACTTTGCGCCTTTCAAGAAAGTCACGATCCTTATGCGGATCTTCTGTGCGCTTCATGCTCGACGCCATGGCTGATATCTGCGACGAAAATGCACTGGGATTTCTGGCTCTTGCATAAACCATTAAACTCGAACCCTGCAATGCGGTCCTCCGTTATACGAACTATAAGTGTCACGTGAAGGGATAACGTCAAGCTTAAGACATGGAGTGCATAGGTATCTGTTGAGGGTATGTTTTTATAGCGTGGTTCAGTAGTGGGATTGACCGACTGTGTATTATGTGTCAGGACGTTTTCTGTAAAATGTTACAGCACGCAAAGTCAAAGCTGAATGACGCGTGGTGAATTTTGCTTATCGTCAACAAGCTGTTAAGTCATTAGATGCCACAGTCGATAGTGCTGCGGTACTCGGAGAATCTTAAGGCACGATAATCGGAAGGATCTTGAAATAAGCGAAACTGTATTTATCTGCTTGAAGATAGTGAATTATTAAAGTTCAATGAAATACCATTAAAAATTTTATTAGGGTAAATATGATTAATTACTCAAAATAAATCTTTTCATTGTGATTGTCATATTTGTTATTGGATATTTGGTTAGGTTCAGGCAATGCTAATTATTGATACTGGACTTTCGAGTTGTTACCATACCTTATTCTAGGCTCGTAATGTGCTGAGCGTACTTTTATAGGGAAATTTATATTGCAAAAGCCTCTCGTTTTATATTATTTTTAGTCTTTATTGGCTTTCCGAGAATTAGCTAGATTCCTGTTATATGGAATTTGATAACGAGCTTCCACCGTCCTTCCGCAGCCCTTCCTTTCTTAAATGTTATCAGCCCGCGGGCTTCCCGTGCCCGCGCCACTTACCAAAAGAGGCGAAGGAAAAACCCGTGTTCGATTGGCAAAAAGAGAACGGCCTCCCTTAAAAATTTGAATCGAATATCGCGAACCCTCCCTATCGAAGAACATCGTCTCCCTTTTCCTCTTATCTAATTTCATCATTTTTATTCCCGCGTCTCGGATATCTCCGAACCATAAATCGGTATGGTATGCAGCGGGTGAGGCAGTTAGAACGCCATGAACCTAACCTAACTTAAATTTCCGCACTCCTCGCGAATGGAAATTCCAGCTAACATCCATGCACGTACGAATGCACGTGCGAAGTGTTAACGCTCATTGTTTTTATACGCTTTTGTCATTTTTTACGGGATACCAAAATCGATAAATATATTGAACAAACAAAAATATGGTTTTGGCAATTCGCAATTGTTTCTGGGTATTATTGAAATTCTCTACAGTGTCCATATAAATCACGGTGTACCGCGAAACTTCGTAACGAGCGAACACGTGGCGAAAAACGAGAAACCGTCCCGTGGGGTGTTTTGCCGTTTACTAATTTGGACTAACATTGCTGGGGTCGTTTTGACCGGAACGGCAAAATGAAACAATTTTCAGGCTTCAGCCAGGAGCGTGTCAATCAGCGATTCTGTATACCAGACCATTGAAGGGAAGGGGTTCGTCGGCTAATTGATAAAATGCTGATAACGGGCTCGAGTTTATCAGCGAGCGAACGGAAATATTGGGTGGACGACGTGACGTTCACCACGCCCATTAATCAACTTGCGGTTCGTTTTTTCGAATTGGGGTAGTTTGTGTATACAGATGCGTGCCCGCTCGTTAAGCTTGCATTTTTTTTATAACGATACACGCCAAATGCGCTTCAGTGACATGGAGCATCATTTTATAGGTAATACTCATTAAATTTTAGTTTGAGGCTTTCGCAGCCAGAACTGGTATTAAAACTCATGGCTTCCGGATGGATGCCACTTCTAGTTTCAGCGCATTGCCGACGTTTCGCAGACCTGCCAGTCTACGTCATCAGGACTAGGATGCTCCGATACATGAATTTTAATTCACTCAATTGTCCAGCACTTTAAATATATGAAATAAATATGATGCATTAGGATTTTATGATTGATCCTTAATAAAGTTTATGTACCTCGTGGAGTTAAGTTTTTTTTGGAATTATAATACAGATAATAGAGATTTATGATCGAGACCGATTGGATGGTTTACACTCTTGTAAATTATCGCGTTCAATCTATAATGATCCTTTTTCGGCGTTTCATAGAGCTCGGAATAAATGTTGGCTGCTTTATATTCCGGGCTCCCTGCCCGATTATGAGAGAATTTCGTATAAGTGAGCTCCAGGCTTTCCACGTAAATTACCATTTTCCTATTAGTCGTTGTCATTCCCTTTTTATCGAACTTCTATTGGGCAACGACGATGGATTACGTATCTACGATGCCTATATAAGTATATTAGTACAAAAGCAGTATATACTTTCCCATGCAAGGTCATGCCAAGCGTGATTTTACCATTTTTGTTCTTCTCTTTCTCTTTGACTTTTCTATACTTTTTTATCCTCATTTTGCGATAGCTGGCCTTTATCCTTTTACTCGTCCCTCATCAATTACGTGCTTTTTAGACGCCTAGCCAGGACTATGGTAACGTCCTGGTTACGTACGTCAAGGGGTTAGTGTGCTAATGCGTCAGCGTAACGACGTCTCTCTTTTGAGCATCCGTCGAGGCCAACGGGACTCCAGGATGAGCTCAGTGAAAATGAGACCGCGGAGCGGAAACGAGGCCATTAGTATACTCACCGGTAGTAAGGTACTCCCGACAAAACTTTCTTTCCACGGCTTCTTCAGGACTTTCGAAAATCCACGAACGAGGAGTTACTGCTTTCAAGCTTGCGAAAAGTTGCTGCCCTCATATTTGCAATTATATTACCGTTTGCCATGCGATGCGAAATCGAGTAACGAGAAGTGCTCGAAAGTCTTTTACACGTGGAAAATATCTATGACAGTTGTTGGTCTGCGAAGACAATAATTGTTTGGTTCGTTGGTGCGACTGGTCCTTGGAAGATCTTTAGCTTACACGACTTTTGAAACTCTTGTCTTTCTCACTTCTGTCTCTTGGACTGTATATAATGGTAGCTGGTTAAACAGTAATTATTTAACAGTACGGTATGTTTCCTGCCATTTTATACACAAAGCATTATGGCTTTGGTTCTACCTTAGACAGTCTAACATCGATATTTTGAACAATAAAAGAAAATTGATTATCGTATAGAAAAACTTGGTGGGTTTTTAAAAAGTATGATCACGAGATGAAACGTACATAGATTATTACTGAAAGTTTCTGACTTTATATTTTTTTTTTGTTCTTTCCAGAAACATCGTGAATGATAATGATAGCTAGATAAAGGGTGGAGAAGGACAAAGGAAAACGTCAAGCTACACTATTACATTTAAATAAACGATCGTGTATTTATGCAAATTTGATTGGCTTACAACGTTTTACATGACTCTTTTCATTTTCATCGCGTTCGAGGACAAAGGGAACTTATGGATATTCATTTAAAATTAAATTATGCGCAGGAAAACAATGTAAAACGGGATTTTGTAGTCGCCGGCTGGAAGACGCTGTTTTTTAAATACTGCTCTATTTTGTTAATTCTGCACATGACTTTTTTCCCACTTTTTTATCATTCTATTTACGTCTCTGTATCACCGTAGTAACTTTGTATATTGCCACACAATCGTATTAGCAAGGCGAATACGATTTTACGAATAACGAGGATGCGTACAGTAAATTGAAAAATGTTTACAATCAACGAGAACACAGTAATCAATTGGCATGGACTTTTTTTTTATTAATTCGATATCAGAATCCGTCGAATTAAGGTAAACCGCACAAGGTTCCTTATAGGAATCGATAATTATTGTGACGCTTTGTGCGCTCCTCACGATCACATATATGACGATGGACGATTTAAGAATTACAACTCATCATCGTATAACGCGCTTATCATTGGATTCCAATGTGAATTCGATTATTGAAATTAACGATCATTAGGTAAAAATTGATAGTCTCATTTTTTTATGATGCCAGGACGGCGTTGGGACTGGATTGTGCGACCAAAATGATTCTGGGATAGAAATTCGACAACGAAGTCGAAAGTCGAATGCTAACACGAAAGGATATATGTATAGCAACTTATCGGTCGTTATATTGCGCAAATGAAGTCTTTGTCGTATTACCGCATTTTAATTATTTCATTTCAGTGGTTTGATTTAATTACTTTTAACATAGTAGGTCAATCACATTGGGTCAACATCGTAGCAACGTAGTCTTGTCTCCAAGAATTTTCATCCTTTCAACGTTATACGCACCATAGTCAATTATTATATTAATGATTTACTTTATACTTATTTATTGTATTTATCGGTAGTATCATTAATTGTAATAAGTAAAAACTGACGATATGATAGATCGGTTTTACACTGCTGCGTACAAAACTGCCGTGCTAGGTACAACGTTGCTTTACGTTATGATCGGTGACCAATTTTTCCTTCGTCGTATCTTCAAAGAGAAAAGTTGCGACGCGTATGCATGCATCTTCATACGTATACGCAGCCGGGCGATCTTTTTTTGGGATTCGCAAAGCGGATGCCGTTTTAATGAAAATTTTAATAACCGAAAGTCACATTACGCAATATCAACTGAAATATATCGATATCCCAGATATAGTGAATCCACCTTAAATATATGCTCGTGGTTTCAGTTTTGTACATTGCAGCATATTTTTTCAGTTGGATTTCTTTAGCGCAGCTTGGTCTGATGTTACGTGGACATAGATACGTATGCACATAAAAAAAAATTGTACGAAACTTAAATAATTTTCCGAAATGAATTTTATGTTTTCCTAATTAAGTTTCCTCGTAATATTAGACACAGCTTCTAGTATCGTCCTTTTGGCACGTTAATCTTGGCCATAATGTTTATCCTTAGACGAATCCGTGCCAATCCGTATTGCGGTGTCTGCCATTACGCGTACCAGCGAATGCACTTTGCATAGGCAATATTAAGAATTGCTGTACTTAATTAAACGTAGGTACTCATTGAACGTACGTAATGGGCCAATGCGTTAATTAGTCTAGTGCAAAAACGAGCGCGCTCAACGTTCGTAATCGCTGGAGGATATCGTGACGATCGGTGGCTTCAACAAGACGCGTATTGCGCTAAAACATTGTCCATAAAAAACTGTTTATGTATACAATAAAAATACTAATACTAAACTTTTGCCTCATCACGTCTATTAGTTATACAATATATCATCAACGGATTGGCACGAATGCGGCATTTATAATTATAATTAACATTTACAATAAACATAATCCAATGCTCTCAACATCTCTCATCATACATATATACCATAAACGCACCCATTATTAGTAAACGACTATACTATATCCACTCGCGCTCTCATTACGATTATTATATTAGTTAAAAATTTTTCAATGTAACGTTATTACAGTTACACAAACTTCTCGTGTTCTCACTGCACAAAAATTGCACTGACGCACAAAAGTTATAGTTATTGTTATGTTCCATAGTTCGTCTTCTTCAATCGTCTATCGCGTTGTCGCTTCTCGTGTTTATTCGTCTTCTGGATTATACTTTTGGCACGCAATTGCTTCGTTTGGCGTCAATTAATCGAGTCCTTGTCTCAAAGCATTTCCGCTATGCGTCTTCGCCGTTTGCGAAATGGCAGTTAAAATAATTTGAGTTGCTGGTTGCACATGCACCCACCCCAGGACCATCATACTATCGATTCAATTTTTTCTTTCAAAATTATTTTTGATTTCTCCCTCTTCGCTTCTCCCGTCCCTTTTTTTTCTTATTTTTTTTCCTTACAATTATTTACAATGTACAAAGATTTTTTTATTATCGTGAGACCGCCGATCACCGCGCAGCCACTCGACCTTCCGTGTATTATCTAATCCACCTAGAAATTTTCGAATTTACCTATACAGTACAACGTCTGAATAATATACGAAGTTTGATCGCAGTTATACTTGTGAATTTTGACGACCTAATGTACCAAAATACCTAATGTACCTCGGCTAACCCGGATGTTGTCGGGTCGATTGAAAGATTCGTGTGCTCTTTCTAACAGTAAGTTAAGCGCAATCACGTAACTTCGGATATATTATTTTGGGGGCCAGGCCCGGTTCCTCTATTCTATCTGGAGTAAACTGCGTCGGGACGGACGGGTCCACGGTCAATTTATCTAGCAGCATCTGATTAGGGTGAGAAATCAATTAGATTGGACCATCCTCTTCACGTGATGTATTCTGGCTTGCCAGCGGCTTCGCTGCGCTTAGACCAGAAGCCTGGCGTCGCGGGCGTCCAGGGAAGATCGACGTCTAGCGTCGAGATGCTCAGCATACGCTTCACCTTGGGACTCTTGGGCGGTGACTCGGCAAACGTGACGCTTCTGCGTGGCCTGGGAGGTGGTGGAGGTGGCGGTGGCGGTGGTAGTGCTAGTAACGGTGGCGGAGGTGGCGTTGGTAGGGACATCGCAGGCGAAGTACCCGAAGTACCTGGTGAAGTACCCGTAGAACTTATACTTGGGTATGCGTATTGCTGTGCACCTGGTCGCCCTCGGCATTGCCGATAGCGTTGGCCGGTGCGTAGTACTGAAAATTTAATAAGCGTCAGGTTAGATACTCTGTGTACGCATACTATAAAAAATATTGTTGGCGAGACTGACATGAGAGAAGGGTAAGGAGATACCATGTACATATGGATCCGTCTCTATGATGAGATACAACGACGATGACGCTGAAGATTTTGAAGGCTTTTATCTACCTGATGGAAATAGGTTAACACATATTTTTATCATAATAAATATATTTTGACTAACCCTCAACGCAGAGTTATTTTTGCGAATTTCCATTCAACACAAAATATTGGCTGATTATAACAAACAGGTTTATTACTGTGAAAAGCTTATCCTTGGGGAATAATGAGTTTGTGAAAATCATAAAGGTTCGAATACATATTAATTGAAGAGGATATATATGTATATACACAAGATAGATATCTCCCTGTGGTTAAAAATTGGTTGACGATACCATAGCAATCAAAGGTGGAACTGTACTTTCGTCTTGAATGATTCCACGTAATTTCAGTTCGATCGTGGAGAAAGAACAAAGTAAATTGGCAATAAGCAAAAACAAATGAGCTACGCTTAAAGATTCAAAATGAGCAGCATGCAACAAGACAACGGCCTGGCATTGTTCATGTCAGTGTAAGTCACTCGCAGAAGAAGCCATGCTTTTATCGCAGTAAGCCGATTACATTATTATGGGTTACAGTGAAGTCGGTAAAGTAGATCTCTGAAAGTATAAGACAAATAATATCGTATTTCTTTTTGATCTCAAACGTTATACCGTTTCAGCAGTGAAATGGAGCCGCGAATACGAGAACCGAGAGAGACAGGGGTTTAAAATTAAGGGTGAGAGTACTCACATATGGTCCCGGGAAAGGCGCATGCATCCTCCGTCTAACTCTGCAGTCCGTACCACTAGAGACAAAAACAAAAGTAGAACAAAACGCACAGCTACGCGTCACCCGTTGACAAAAAAACGCAACACCCAGCCAGCCGTTCATACAAGTCATTCAAATTAAAAGGTCTCAAGGGATACTTCGGTCGAAAGAAACTTCGAAGAAACGAAAGTGATACGTTAACGCTGCTAATTGCATGCCAAGCGTACTCTACACGACGTCGTTGACGACTGCAAGCCAATTGATGGCAGAAATCGATTCCATCCTAGCTCGAGCTCGCCGTTCTACCGACAGTAATTAACTGCAGTAATTGGTAATTAGCCATCGGCACTCGTCGGAAGCAATTATCGTCGAGTTCGAGAAGAATATGTTTTTTTTGTCATTTCACCGAGTGCATAAAAAGTTCCGTGAACACACTGACGTAGCAATGCGTTTGCAGTGGTAGGTAAAATGAAACTTTTTTTGACGTTTGTTAAATAAATTTATATGATATCAACACTCTTTCAAGTTCTATCTATTGTAATTTTATGAATGCGTTCTAGGCGTCACAGAACATTTTGCTGCAGGCGGTGCTTATGTGAAACTGTTTGAAATTGTTTGTGTACTTTGAGGAAGAGATAATTGAAAAGTAGTTGAATTCTGTGGAATTCGAAAGAGCTGATTCGCAATGTCGAATACCCGTTCAATCCATGAATCTTGCTCCAGCACTCACCCGGCCGTTGTCGAAATCGCGGCCGCCCCCGATTGTTAGTCGTGCTTTTGCCTTCATCGCGTCTGACAGTGGTATCTGTAATAAAATGTTGGAATGACTTTTTTGTTGTTTCTGAAAGTTTGATAATTTGAAAACTTCTTAATAAATTTTATATGATTGTAGGAAAAATTGCATTCAATTTTTCATTTAATTTAGTTAATGTAATAGACTACAGTTTTACCTTTGCTCTGGTCGCCTCTGTGTGCGATTTGTAACAAAATTCAAGAAGAGCCACTGCCAGAGCAACGAGGAGTCCACCGATTAGGATGTAAAAAATTCCTGCTACGTTGCTTAAGGATAATTCGTTTCTGGATGCATCTTGCTTGTCTCCCTGTCTGCATTCTGTTCTGTCGTACCACCAGCGATTTGTGAGTTTTGTCAATTCGCCAGTTTCCTTTAACGACAATACTGCCAGATTGATGCTGTCCCTGTGAGTAACAATAGAATAAAATTTCAATGTACTGAAATATAAAAGTTAAACTCAAAGCTAGTCGAAATACTCGTTGAGTAAGCAGTTTTTTTTTGGTGCACAAATTTGTAAACAAAGTAAACATATAGACAACAGTAGAAAGTCAAGAGCTCATTGAAGAATGTGAAAAGTGTAGTAACAAAGTACGTGAATTCTACATTTGCTTCCTAACGAGAGTACTTGAACGAAAATTAACGTCATTATAAAAATAAATCAATTTCAAACTACCCTTCAGGTATACGCTAGGACGTATCTTTATCACTGACAAATTTTTTTGTTTTCCGTAAACAAGTAGCAGTTAATGAAAAATGTTCAGAAGTATTAAATACACAGGAATATGTTATGAAATACCCTCCGAGAAAAGCAGATGAGCAGGAAAATGATGAAGACGCTTTTCGAGATGCGTAATCCGAAGATTGAACGTATCGAAATAATTAACCAACCTTAATAGCTCAAGGCTCATTTAATCCGTATGGCTTAAGAGGATGAGGGATGATAAAATATAAAAGCGAAAAAAAGAAAGAAGGATGACTCGGGAAGAAGCATATTTGTTGGGTAATGATCCGTGAGCTTCCCGTATAATGTTTGTATATGTTAATTATACGTAGAACCAGAATGCACTGCGGCAAAAACGCGAATCTTACGGAGTAAGGTGGTTTGACGGGGGTAGAAGAGCGCCAAAACGAAAAACTAAAGTAGCCACGAAGATAGCGGAGGAAGCGTTCAATGTTTTGCTAACTTCCGGTTTCCTCACGGAACGAGGAAACTTTGACTTTTCACTTTTGCGCAGGGGCAAGTTACCCCATAGAGAGTATTCAGGATGGTCGTTGTCAAGGAGAAAATATATTTTTTTTTTCTTTCACTTCACATCATCCCTATCCACATCATCCCCTTTTTTATCCATATCGAATTCAGTGAGTGTCTTGAAGTGTTTTTATATCACGAGCCCTTAGATAGGATAGTAGGATAGTTGAAAAACTCACTTGAGAGGCGAGCCAAGTGGGGTCGCCACCCCAAAGCCCTTCGCATCCAAGTGTCTCCCGACTTTCATCGTGTCGCATGGCTCTCTCTCATTTATATATTCATTTTTTGGACTCTCAATGAGCAAAGCGTACTTTCCTTTGCTCATCCTCACGCGTCTTATTCCTTCGTCGTACGAACGTACAAACATATTCTGTCTGGAATTCATGAATTCCCACATCTTGCTATAGAGGGAGATCTGTGACTTCTGTAAAGGAAATATAAGTTGGGTAATAAATATGTAGGATAATTATTGAAATAGGAACACGCGATATACGCATATCACTGAATACGGCAATATTTAAATTCTTAAACTCACTCTAAAGAAATCCCATGTTGATCCATGATAAAGAGTACCGTATTGTACTTCAGTTTGCGAAGCCAAATCCTCTGGTGAATTGATAGGTGCCACCATTCTTTCAACAGTGAGAAACGCCGCGAGATTGGCAGTGTAGGATGATATTAGAATGAGCGTGAAGAACCACCAAACGCTGCCTACTATGCGACCGGAAATTGATCTGGGGAACAAAGAACTTAGTAAATATTGATTTTCTTCCAAGTAGAAAAGTGTTTTCCAAAAGTCACACTGCGTATCAGTACAAGAAGACACCAGTATAAGGAGAAGGTAGCGGAAGATAAGATCATAGGAAAGTGGACCGTGCAGTTTCATACGAATGAAACGTTTATTCGAAATTTCTTTCTTAGAAGAAGTTACCCAAGTTAAATTGGCTGAGTTTCCGTTGAAAATACGGAAAAATATATAGTACTGTTGGGTAAAACAAGGATCGTCGATTATTACAATTTTCTCGATATACAGTATAATGAAGATTAGTATTAGGAATTTAGTATTAGTATTAGTATTATTTAATACATATATCAATAATATTAATAACTTGTAGGTCACTAGCGATTGGTCCAGTGCACCAGGAAGGGATGAAATTGAGAAAATAAAAAAATAGAGGTACGATAGGGCGAGTGGAAAAGGAAATATAAATAGGTAAAGCAGTATATGTATATGTATACTTCCATCCAGTACGACCGCGGGGCTCTTGCATAAAACAACGAAATTTGTGAAACTCGAACTTTAAATGGCTCTGGCTTAAAGTGCAAATCTGAAAAGTTGCGAAACTATTCCTCCAAGTTGTCTAATCAAAGGTGGACGAGAGCCGTCCTGCGAGTGTCATTTCTATTTTGCGTCGAGCTATAACTTTTTCACCTTAATATTACGTCAACAAGGCTGCTGTAAGTTCGTAGACTTTTAACGAAGATGGCAAGAAGAATGCCACCTATTTTCCACGTCTTTCAAAAACGCAGAGACAAACCAGTAGAGAGCGAACGAATTTTTTTAAGAAGGAAAACGACTGTCGCATTGAGAATAATGTTATTACAGGTATATTTATGCTATTCTGATTCAAGCAATGTATATATGTATATATGTATACGTCGTGAAAAGGTACAGCTCAGAGACGTGTTTGCGAACGTCATACAGGTTTTTGATTTTGGGAACTTCAATATTGTTATGGTCATGTAGCGCGTACTTTTAATAGAAACGTCAAGAGCCGAAGTTCTATATTTTTTGCCTTATACATTTTCGTCTTTTTCGTTCAAATTTCATTCTATTTCATGTCAATCCAACTGCCTTTTCAAATTTCAGACCTTTGAATCTAATTCTATGTATACATATGTATAGAGTATTTGGCTTTTGTTGTATTCAGCAGCGAAATTGTGTGATTATCCAACGCCGCTTTATACAATCTACAATGAGTTATACGGTACCCTTGTAATTTATTACCTTACACCAGCTAAAACCCCTTTTCGTACCTTGAGTTTCGTGTAAAACGATTAATAAGAAAGGAATGAGTATTTTTTCAGTAGGACATATATCTAACCCAGCCAGCATGCCAGTCACAGTCATGCGAGCCATGAAAAGTGTTATATGTCATAAAGACTGATTCTAGCCTTAAAAATAGTGTAACGTAATATTCCTACCTAACGCAGTATATTGCACTGGCAACGTGTATCGAGATTTTCGATATTATCTATGGAAACGTTGATGTCTTTGATTTTTTTTCGTCAAGTATCATTTGTATATTCATTTGGTAAGTATAAGAAAATGTAAGAGAGAATATTACTAAATAATTGTAAGAATGTAAACAAAGATCACTAATAAATATTTTTAGCATACAATAAAGTGTGTATAGTATGTGAAGAAGTTATGATAGCTGTATAACTAATTGCAAATGGGGCGTGTCACTTACTGTGGAATTTTCAGTTTGGGTCAAATGATCATGCCAGATACTCATTTATATAAGTTACTCTGTTTATTATGAACTACTAATGTAATCAACTATCTAATTAAAATTATAACGTTGAATGTAGACATAGATTGATGCCGACAGCTACTGGTCCTATCCACGACATATCAAGCCAGTATCTATCTAATTAATTGTATTATAAATTTAAAAAATATATAGCTATACAGCTAGTTGTAAGATCCCTCGTTACCAGCGATCCTAAAATACATACTCCTAAATTTTCCTAAAGGATTCATTACAATCACGTTACGTTACGTTATATTTCGTATATTAAGTTTTTAATAATACAAATTAAAGATCTGACAATATTCTGAAAACCCGATGTATAGATATTAGGTATACAGGGTGATTTTTTTGAATCGCCTCAGGCTGATATCTCGTAAATTAAGCAACATACGAAAAATACATCTTATCTGAAACTTTCTTGATTTTGAGGGGGAAAGAAGATGGTATAGTCAGATTTATCGTAGATGGAGCCCCCAAGGTTAGGTGAAGGTCAACTTTGATTTTTTAAATAGAACAGTGCACTTTTTTTCACAAATCCTGAAAGAGCATCCAATTTTGCATAAAAAACATTAGAGGTACTTATGGCCTACAACCAAATGGTAATAAGATGAGAGCTGGGCAAGTTAGATAAAAAGAAGCATCGGCCGGATGCCGGTATTGGAGCAGCACGCATGTTCCAACGTACTTGAACGCAATTCTCAATTTGTAGTACCTGATTGAAAGGATCAAAACTGTTCAAACTATTCTTTTACTTTGAGTTGCCAAAGTCTGGTCAAGATCATCAACTTTGCTTGATAATGATGCTTGATAATGATGCCCTGTATGGTAATGTGGTAATAATATTCAGTCGAGACTATGAAAATTGTGCTAATGAATAGTCAAGGGATTTAAGAGCAAATCGAGGAAAATGGTGAATGTAAAATGGTAGGTCGGTGTGGAGGTTCGTTTGAAGAGTGAAAACTCCGCTCACCGCGCCATATAATTCATTGTGTTTTATAATTATAAATAAAGCATATAAATAGGAAATCGTAAATGGTCGTCTTTGAATTCTTCCCATTACTCTGGTTACCAGCCAAGACCATCGTATTATATCATTCCTCTGTGTAATACGGTTCCCTTGTCCTGTATAAAAGCTACCTAGCTGACTCTTTATATATCTTTATATATTTACTTTGATATATATATGTATATGTATGTAAAAGTAATACAGTTACAGCACTGTACGTAGTGCGCTGGTAGAAGATGAAGTTTAGTTGAACTCCATAATTATAATAAGAGGAGTAATTTACATTTTTTACTTTTATATTATATATCATTTCAGTCCTGGTTATGAAATAATGATATGCACTTATACATATATACAGTGCACTTATTACTACGTGTATATCTGTCGGGAAAGAAATGGAGAATATTTAACAATGGAATGTAATTCCTTGCTGAAGTGTAGGGAGCTGAAGAAAAAGAAAGGAAAACGATATATTTAAATCAGCTTGAAAGCTTCTTGAGAAAGCTACACTCTCGACATGACTTTTTTCATGTTTTCATCTGTAAAAACGTAGAGCAGGAGTGAATATGAAGTAACGTACCTTGGTGAGATGTCGCATCCCTGTTGCATAAATGCTCCCAGAGAGAACCAGAGACTGTTCAGTATACTGAAATCGTTCGCCATACTCGAATGGGACGTACGGGGTGAGCCATGAGGTCCATGCGGATGCTGCATACTCGGATCACCCCTGGCAACCATGGCTGGATCGGTCCCACCGCTGATCTGCAAGACTCTCCACTCGTATGGAGAAAATCTTAAAAAATTTATAAAATATTAATATCCAGTCAATAAACAATTAGCTGTTCAATTAAATGATGCAATTACACAGTGTCGTACCTAGATACGATGAAGAGAACAATGGAGACACCTATGTATGAAAATATCACACAGACCCAAATCTCTTTACTCAAAGGGTTAAGAAAGCTAAACACTCCCGGTTTCTGTTTTACTGGCTTCTTGATCATTATACTGATTCCCAGGGACATAAAGGGTTTACTGAAGTCGATGACGCGTTCACGTTCAGAAGTGATTGTCATAGGAGCGATGGCTATATCAGCTTCCTGAAACACAAGGATCAATTCCGAAAGTTGAGTAAATAATTTTCAAAAGAGTCATTACACGAATAAATTTTATGATTAAAATTAATGTTAAAATTATTTTAATAATGGGACAACCTTTAATGATTGCCTAACTGTCTATGATTCCACAGTTTGATATAGGTGTGTTAAAGTTCATTCGTTACGTCTTCCTGACCTTTTCGTTTCCCCCATGTGGATCTTTCAAAGGGTCCTACAAGCTTTATCTAATAGAAGGTACGAAACCCATTAACTACTCTGTCATCCTTAAGGTGATAAGTATCGTTGCCTTTTTATGTAATTCACGCTTATAAGATTGACTTCACCTTGCCGAGACGTGGACCCAATTTCTATGCTCTTATATAATTAGAAGACCGTATGAGAAGGGCGAATATAATGAGCTCATATCATGCAGAGTCATTAAACCTAGCATCCCTGACGAAGCCAAACCACCTTCTGGCGCATATAGTCAGACCAATTCCGAAATAACCTGGTTCTGGCTCTCCAACGTGAAATAACCTTATTACCTTACTGTTGATTCTGTCGAAAGCATGTGCACGGATAATGCTATTATTCATGGTACGCAAACTAATGAAATTACTATGCGAGTACCTGCCGCGAGGCGAGCGGCGATTTAGATTTCCTGAAATTCCAGGAATTTCGATTAGTTATCAAATTCGATATATTAAATAGTCCTAACTGGGCTAGAATTTGGCCGTTCCCTGTAAGCTTGGGGATATCGTGTACCATATCGTTAGAGACTATAAATCTAGAGACTATAAATATATCTTTGGTAATACGAGACAAGTATCATCATAAACTTGTTAATACAATCCTTGTGTGTTATGAACATCTATGAGCAATTTACAGTTATCATATGCCAAGTAAAATTGTAAAAATGCAATATGAAAAGGTATAATGATTCTAGCAATGTCGTCTCTACTGATGTAAATTTATAGCTATGGTTGTCATATTCAAGATACGAATTTCGCAAAAGAGGTAATACGTAAGCTATTAATAGTTACGTTGCAGAAAATATTTGTATCGATTAGACGACATTTATATATAGAATAGAAGGTATAGATGTATGAATTTTACGAGATGTGAGCTACGGTACGATTTGCGCGATATGTATAACGCAAATGAGGTTAGTTAGTTATGAAAAATTACGACAGTTCTACGAACTTTTTTTAGAGGCATTTAACGCCATTTATAACCTGAATTGATACTGGCCTGTTGAGATAAATGGGCGATGATTCTTGGAGCAAATAACGGAGTTCTCGTTCGGTTCAGCGTTACAAACACGTGGATTTTGATTGAATTTCTATTATCATGACACAAAAAAGCACAGTCCTTTCTTCCACGTACATGAACGAACCGACGGTTCTAATTTATCCGTATAAGAGCATTATTCTGAAAGTAATCTTTTCGCAATGGTCTATTCCGCTCCTCGTTATCGACAATTTGATTTCAGCATAGGTTCGGAGCAGGGTGGTTGCTGATTGGCAGAGTCATTCCAGTGGTCCACAAAGGAAGCTTGTCGGTAATGAAATAATATCAATCGAAATGATCAGCGTGGACCAGTTACTCTCAATTGAGATGTCCTTGCGAACAAAATCAGGTTGCAGTACCCAATGCGATACGACGTGACTGAAAATTGTTGCTTGTAAGTACAAAGTTTCTCCGGTAGATGTAGCTTAACAAAGCGGAGCTCTGGGCAATTTGTCCCTCTGTCGGAGAATGCGCGAACCTTTAATCACAGGGATAAAACAGAGCCTCCTGCTCCTCGCTGGACGGAGTCAACGATCAATAATCGACTCTTCCGCGAAGTCAAGAGAAAGGGCCTGCGTTCTTTCTGCTTCCTGAGGTTCGGATGACCTGAGAGAAATGCTGATATTGTACAGTAACGATCTTTAAATTACTTTTGATGACTTACCTTCCTAATGAGTTCTCCGACCATGCCATCCCAACCTCCTGGTATATCTGGATTTTCCGTTCCGTATTTCTTGTCCTTCACGATTCGCAATTCATCTGGAATTTCATAAAATGCAAAGGTAAGTTATGCATTGGAAAATTTCTTTGGCTGCTTACATAAGAATATGTTTCGAGGTGGAAAAAAGAATTATTTTAATGATTTCAACACTGCACTATAGTAGAGTCCCTCTAGTAAGAGCCCGGCCAACGGTGGGGCTTGTTAGTGATTGGCTCCGCCATATTATGGCCTTTTTCCGGAATAGAATAGCGTGTGTGAATACATTGTGTAATGTGGGTAGTGTTAAGCCCTGTACGGCGGGTTGCCTGTACTTGGCGCGAGCCTCGACCGAGTCTCTTGATGGTAAAGATTGATAGTTTGAAAATCCGCGCGCAATGTCATGGTGGCGCCAAACAAGCCCTTAATATGGCGTCCTTTCCGGGTGTTGGCCGGACTCTTACTAGAGGGACTCTACACTATAGCGATGTAAAGCGACACCAGCGGATAGTACACGTAGTTATCTGGCAAAGCGAAATAGTAACGATCAGCTCAAGTTACGGGGTGTCATTTTACCTATTTTGCGGCAATAAAGATGTTTGAAGTTTTCAGAGAAAACGACGCCTAGTCAAAGTTTCTAAATTATTTTCGAAATATGAGAGTAGCGAAACGTTACGTTGAAGTCTTAAAGATTTACATCGTATTATGGCAGAATCCACTTTCAACATTTATGACTACCATCCCTGCTCGTATTTATGCTTATTCGCGCTATATATTCTCACGACGTAACCTACCGGAACTGCTTTTCACAGTTTCTAGAGCAATAAACTAATCATGAAAAGGTACATGCTTCTGTTAAAATTGTTCACAACGGCAGGACGCTGTTATCATTATCCCTAACAATTATTTTCTCAAAAAAGCAATATTATGCATAAACGACAGCGAAAGTAGACTAGCATACTCACAAGTGATACCCAATTTTTTGGCAATCAGGTCTGCCAAATCCTTGCAATAACCCTCGAATCGATCGTTTCCTGTGAGAATCTCCCCAGGTTCTGATTTTCTCATCATGATGTACGGTTCTTCCTGTAAAATTGAGCAGCAGATATAAAACGCTCAGTCGTCTCCTATAATACAATTTTAATGAACAACTAAAAAATCTCATGCCTCCAGCTTTACTCACCACTATAGTGGTGACGATATAAGTTCTATTTTTCTCGATATCGGTCTGCGGTCGCAGGCGTACATATTTTGCAGCGATGGCCTGAAAACCTGTCTCGTCAGTCCACTCAGCCACCTACGCAAAAAGAAGAGGGAAAAAAAGTCATTTCTTTTTTATGGCAAATGAAGCGGCGCAGAGTTCAAATCAGACTATGCCTGAAAAAAGAAAAGATTCTCGCGCCGCGGTGAGCAAACAAAGCCGAGTTTAAATTTCAACGGACAAGGTCGTACCGTTCGAGTATATTAGGTTGGGCACGTGAGGCTCTAATTTTCGAAATAAACGTTGCAATTACTTAGTTGTCACAATGACGAAATGGCTGTCAGCTACAGGCGACAGTATCAAAGGTGTCGTACGTTGTCATGAATTTAAACGCGTCGCCGTCGGCAGGCTAGCGCAGTTTTCGACACCGCATACGTCAAGAAATTTGTAATCTTTTGTCCCCTCTCTCACTAATGTCATTGTCGTTTTATTAAACCACATTAATTTTAAGCAAAGTCATACGTAAATGCGCATGGCCACCGATTTTCTATCCGAATTGTGAATTTTGACAGATGGATCTTAAAATTCGTGATAATGCGTGACTTACGACACGGTGATTTTTCCAGGGCTTGATTTAGGGTCGTGACATTTTTTTCCAGAGTGCCAGAAGGATCGTGATAGGATTGAAAATCGCCCAAGCGAAATTGCGTAAAACAGATAGCGTATAGCGTAAACGGAGTGCACGAATGATCCTCAAGAACATTTTAAAACCGGTATACTATAGGAGGGATGTATAATATAAGGTTTACCATGTTACTTTTACAGTGGATAAATTTAACCCTTTGTCAACGGAAGTTGGGATATTAAGAAAATGGTCTGTTGGAAGTGTCTTTGAGATATGATAACAAAGGGTGGAATTCTGATAATGGTAGATCGTTGAAGTATATTTTAAATTAGCCGGTAATACTGTATCAGATCAGAATTGGGACACATTGCTGACAGATTGGTATACAAATGGAAGATGAAAGAGACGGGAAATGAAGTTAAGGGAAAAATTTTATGTTTTTTTTTATGTTCGTAAAACTTTCTAGCGTTTTAAAAGGGATGGCACTTGGAATCTGAATCAATCTTTACTTTAATATTCGCTTCCGTCTACGAAGTGTCTACGATCATCAATAATCCTCACACACAACGGTCCAGTACGGAGATGCGATGTTTTTAGAACTGTCATATTGCGAAAATAAATACACTGTACTATATTAGATTTTGCACGTGCATGTGCTAACGCAGTATAAATTCAAAAATGAAATAAGTCTTAACTTTGCAAAATGAAATGTATCGTTTATCTTTAATTTCATACCATATAGCTATATATATATATACCTTAACCATAGCACTATTAACAGTCATCTCGACCACATGTAATGTATAATTTTGCCGTCTGCCATCGTCATTAAAACGTATCTCTCCAGTGAGGCCTTCGAGCTCGACCTGAAAATTCAAAAATAAAAATAAAAATATTTAACTGGATTACTAAATATGTATTAAAATGATATATATTATGTATGTGCACTTGTTATTTAAAAAAAAGAGAGGGAGCAACAGGTAGAATTTTATTTCGAACCCTTAATTATGGGAATAAACAGAAAATTCATTTTAAAAAACCCTAAAATATAATTATTGTATTTTTTTTTAAAATGAATTTTTATTAATATTCAAGCCCAGATTAATTAACATTTAAGTGCAGTTTTGTACGAGGATACCAAAATAACAATAAAAATGCATAACTAAAGTAAAAGGCATATACATTGATAAAGAGTGATACCCATGGCCATTGGTTATAATTTTAATTAATTGGAGAGAGTATCGTTGCATAATCCCCAATTAGCTAACGCCATTCCGAATATTCCACCATACAGGTATAACCGTATAATTTCATCAGCTTAAACTAATTGACATTTGCATTGAATTGACTCGGGCAGTCAATGAAATTGGATTTAGGATTATCCCCCTGTGCATATCCAACGATAGATAAATATTTTATTGACAACTTGACCTCAGTATCAGTAATGCAAGATAAGAAAACAAGCTCCATATCTCATAGGAATTCTCCAAATATATCCACAAAAACAGAGTAGTCATTTCGGTAGGCCTGTCAGCACATTAGTACGTTTCGTGGATACGAGCAGTTCACAAACGAACCCTACTGTAAGTGAAGGACCATCTTTAATTACTGACATGTCAGACAACCAGAAAGACTCTTAACGTCGGCCAGTTATCGATTCTCGCAAACATCTGTCAATACTGTCAAGAAAAAATTCCAAATTCGTGAAAAAAAAAAAAAAACACGAAAAAGCGTTTACGAGAATGAGAGTATATAATATTCAAGGATATATCTCATAGGATAGCATTACGGATTTCCAATCGTATCGAGTCAGAAATCAGAGTTCTGTTACTCAAATATACTGCTGATATTGACAGCTTTTACTTGAGCAGACATTTCGGCGGGAAATACAAATAGAGCAAGTGTTAGCTCGCTGACTCCCTCACTCGTACGTTCATACTTAGAAAATGGCGGGTAGCTGGAATAGCAGAAACCGCTGCTACTCGAGTGCGGATAGAGGAATTCCATGAGAGTCAGAAGAAATGCCAATTACTGTCAGCCACAGACACCGAGAGGATGTCCAGGACGATTTTTTCGATTTGCACCACGAAACGAGTGTTTACCAGGTTATTTCTTATGGCGTATCCACGGCTTGAAACTTACCAAGGATATATGTGAAATCATCGTCTAAAAATGTCACAAGGATCTTGTCAAAGTGCTGTATCAGTTTCGCAAAATCATAAATCATCTGTCACAAAACGATATGCAAAGTATTGGTGTATATGTGTTCGAATTTGAATTTCTGAATTTGGCATTCAGTGTACTAAGGGTGCAATGGTATAAGCTCTCACCTTTCTTAAAAACTTTGAAATCTTGTCGCCGTGTTCCCACGGGGTTACCCAACCCCTGCTGGTGTTGCAATCCAAAGATCGAGTACCGTTAGCTGGCTGGCTACTGCCTGGAATTCCCGTTCTCCTCACGTTATTCCGGTCGGCTTTCTTCTTCTGGAACTTATTGAACGCCTCCACCAGGACGAAGACCGCGTCGTACATCAGAGCCGCCTGAGCCTGTGGTTTAACGATCGAAAAAGGTCACTTTTCCGTAAGGTCCTCGCGTCTATATAACCAAGCAGGCACTTTGCTGGAGAAAAACTTGCCTAGTGCTTTTTTAGTCACGAAAATAAAAAAAGAAAGAGGGAAAAAGAAACTTTCGGCCACCCAAGAGCAATTATCTTTACGATAATCTTATCAGATCTTGCAGATACGAGTTACACGAGATTTTGGGTCTTGGAATATAATTTGTCGAAGCAACGTAGCGTGACGTAACGAGCAGGAAGTTCGTGGGAGTTAAATCCTTCCGTTAGCCAGAGGCCGAACGATTTGAACTCTTATAATAGGTTATGGATCTGAATTTTGTTCCAATTTCTGGTTCGGTACGTATAACGATTTGGGTGATAGATGGGGGTGGTTTACTTGGTGTATAGTAAGGAAAAAAAGATACATACGGAAATAGATTCGCGACCGGCGCCTGGTGAGCTAACAGGGTCGAGGCGGCGCCAGCCGTCGAGAAACTCCTTGACATGGCGTCGAGTGCCGTCCACAATGCGAAAGCCCGTGATGTTGATGGCACCGTACTCGATCACTTCACTCTCCCAGCGGTCGTCCATTATCTGATTACATAAGAAAGATATACCAAATACAGCCTCGCTCTGCACTTTACAGTCTGAAGATCTTCATCGACGATAACGAAGGACGGGAAACACCCGCGTTCACTAACAACCGTACCCCTTGCTCTTAGTAGCTTTTGTATTCTATGGTTCGTAGGTTAAAGGGCGGTACCTGCGAGTTTTGGGGGAGGGGGGGGGGAATAAAAGTGTGATCGATTTTGAATTATTGAAAGGGTTTCACTTAATGGGGTTTAGGGGAGAAATGCGATTAAAGGGAATCTTGGTAATTAGAGAATTAAAAGTTATGATATTAACGGCATCCCTATATATATATCGCTGTGAAATCGCTGACAAAGGGGTAAGAGATTCCAATTTCAGGAAACAGTAGTTGAAATATAAAATTTGAATAAACGTTACTGATTCTTAACACGACTTCTTACCCTTATAACGAGAGACTTGATTTAAAGATACAGGGAATTTGGTTGGAAAGAGTGCTCGACTGGTAAAACTGGAAAGGCCGACCTTTAGGGTGTTTCGACTGTAGTTAAAAAAAAATAAATATTCAGATTTGAATTTACTTTTTTTTTAATTTTTTTATGCTTACATTGTTCCCCAGGAGATTATTACAGCTTTCTGTCCTGGTAAAATTATTATAATACCTAACTGGTGGTATGGAGGGTTGAAATTTTACGTTGGCGAATCTTCACAGATTCTCATTCTCTATCAATCTCGTTCCACTTGGTGACAATCCCTTTTTCTCGGTGTCTCACCTAGTCCCACCGTTACGCGTTTCTCATACGTCATAATCATATTTTCAGAAGCAATTTACCAAGTGCCATTCATCTACTTCGGCTTCCCTAGCGTAACGGAATCAACTATCTTTCGAATAGGTTTTATCCCAGGACTTTTCGGTTATTTGAAAATAAATTCCCGCGTTCGTTGAGCCATGCATATAGGATAGAGTGACGGGCTTACATAGGCTGTCTGTGGGGTCAAGCAAAAGCTTAACGAATTTCCATTTGGCAGTCATTAATTACCATCGATCGGTATCAAGATAATTTTTTAAAAATATTAAATAATTTTTTACACTTATCAACAATAGTTACTAAATCTGTACTATTTTCTTTGTCCTCAAGCAATATCCCGTTTAATCTTACTTTCTTGTTTATCGGACTAACAGAATTTCAACGTTATCGTGCTCTGCCCCCGGAAATACAATTACTTCGATTGCTGAACTACTTCGCTCTACGATTCAATCGAAATAACCTGATCAATGTCGAACGGTATGCATTCTGAAGGAAGTGCCACGAGTCCAATCAGAAGTGCGAATTGGATCAAAGGTCGAAGACAAGGATATCGTAGTTATATTTCGAAAGCGTAGCTTTCATTAAACTTAAGCTTTTTATCGATCAGATCGAAATCGAGCGATATTCAACATCTTCTAAAGAGACGCTTCCGAACGATAGAAACAGAGCTTTTACCCAATAGCTTTGAAGTCTGACAATAATGAAGACTCAAAAGTCGTATAATGTTCTGCTGAATCGTTCAATGATATACAGATGTAACGTATCTTTTGCCTGGAGCTTGTGACTTCTACTGCACCCTTACGAAATATAAGGTTAAGGGTGTTTATCGAAAGATGATGATGGTACCGTTGAGACCTACCATCCAACTATATTGAATGAACAAATATTTTCTTTCCTCTGTACGATTACGGGGGCTGCGCACGACTTGCTACCCTCTTGCTCAAAGAATAAAAGGGGCTGTGCTTTGTGTTGAATTTACGTGCGCGACAAATTAGACACATAAAACGACCTGAAGAAATACATATGTGTATTGCTCGAAAAAAAAAGTGGCAAATGGTGTAAAAGGGAAATAAAATGTGAAATAAAAAAGTATTTACGTTCCGTCTGTTACCGATAGCTGATTTGATTTTCTTAATTCATTCAATGATTTTACTGCGTTTACCAATTTATTTCTTCGTCTGACAGAAACGCGTGTCGTGTTCCTACCATTACCTGGTACACATAGATTAACGTAACGCGTACCGTTATATAACTGTATGCAGTACCTACATACTCGAAGGCATAAATAAACCCACGTGCATGCGGGCTGCCTACATAGATATAAATAAGTACCCATGGACCCGGTTCCAGCTGCGAAAGACAGTCATGAATCATTACGTGAGCCTCGATTGCTTTCAGGACAACAATTTCAATATAGGGGATACGTTCCTCTTTGTGCTTTCTTTGTCTAAGCTCGTTTACGCATTACTTCCTGCAATGTACTCTATAGAAAATACTGATACACCTGTATATAACATATACATAAGAAAAATAGTATTTTGTATACAAGTGAAGATATATGTATAAGCAATCATGCTGCTAACGTCATAGAATAAAAATATTGTATTTGATATGATTGCCATAAGTGATAAATTAGACTTTTTTTCGAGTAGGTACGTACTTGTATTAAGTATGTTATTATTTGCAAACTAATGATGACAAAAAAAATATAAGAAAAACTCTAACGGATGGGTTTATCCTCTAAAACGCAGGATATGGTAGTGTGTAACGCCCGTAAAGTTTAATGGAGGTACTGAAAAATGCAGGCAAATGGTAGCGATAGCGACGGTGGAAAAAGGATGATATTTTGATACGAGAGTTACGGTCAAGTTTCGAGCGTAAGCTCGAGCGAAACGAAGGTAAATTTAGTTATGCTTTACCAGTGGCAAGATTTTCTTTGGAGCCGTTTCAATTTCATGCTGATTTAAACGTGACGTATGCTAATACTAGTTACAAGTTTATCATAGGTATGCTGCGCGGTATTTTAAATTCTCTGTTGCACCTTTTTACTATATCGAGGTATACTTCATAGCTTTGCACATGCATTACGTATATAGTTATATTTTTTAGAATATCTATATAATATTTGTATACGAAATTATTTACCAATCCGCTTAGAAGATAGTGATACGTTCTTTTTCCCAGTGCGATGTCCCTTACGTGACTGACGACAATATCTTTGGCCATATCCGTGGGACAGTCCAGGACAACATATTTGTTGCTCCACCTAATAAATAAAATCTCAGTCGATTATTCCAAAAATATGAAATTCTTTAAAATAACTTAATGATTTTGGCAACAATACCGACGGGGCATTCGATTTACGTATGAATGGATTGTATCAATGATCCAGACAATATTATTGCCGTAACATTCAATCAGAGAATCGGTTGGCTCGCATTACGGATATACAATAATCTCAGTAGCCACGATAATCACTGACGGCATTATCACTTCCGGGTATCTCTGACCTCTCACAACGAAATGCTCAAATTCATTGGTGATTATCAACATGGCGTCGAGCGAAAACCAGTATGCGATTCAATACATCTTCACACATAAATGTTGTGTATAACATAACCTCTTCCATTGCTTTACAGATTTGCACGATCTCTATGGCACGTACTAGAATTTCGATAGGTCAGTGCTTTTTGAAAATGTCTTGTATGCCATTACCGTATTATCGGACAATACTAGAATACATTTATGACATCGTAAACCTAAAGAAGAATCCATCTCGATTCCAATAACATGGATTTAGAATGGTTTTCATGTGAAGTGCGTTTTAATACTGAAGTTATTGCTTCACATATACATATACCTATATCTACCGTCAATTCTGTTATCTATTGCACTGCTTGATTCAGAATAGAAGAAAAAATGAATAAATTAAAAAAAATAATGGTAAAACCCACATGAAGTTACGTGTTAATGCTATTTCAAAACCTTAGTCGTGTTGTCATATATGTATCAGGGATCATTAGGAAATTGCAGTATCCGGAAAACCACAAGAAACTCGTACAACAGGGGGATTCTTGCGGTGGATAGGTCCGGCTCGCAGAAACCGTGGCAATCTAGTGGTCCTAGCTTGAACCCCTGGACTGTTCTAAACTGTAGTAAACTACCGTGCACTGTGGGGTAGATGTATGTGATTAGCCGAGCAACTCTCCGGCCATTCCAGAAATTGCGCGGCGGTCATGACTGATGCCGTCGGAGTACCCGTGGCACAAACATACGATCCTGGTAAAGTGTTTGCCCGAAATACGAGAGAATCTGGGTACCATCGTTCTATGGGAATTTTGGTGAATTATTATTCGTATTCGGTTGCCGTGCCCAGTACCCCGGTATTTGGTGCTCATAGAGTGCCCATTGCCCCAAGCTATTGGGCGTTGGCTAAAAGGAGCTACGACCTTTTGCAAAATCGATCGCAACACCCTGATAAAATGACTGCGTCTCTTCAACCCCTTGACCAATAGTGCCATACCGTCCCACACTCGGTCAACGTCTCTTTTCCATTTAGGTATCGGTACGCTCTGAGAGTTTTACGTAAATCGCATAGAATTCCGTACGGTCGTAACAGCGTTTCTATTGAAAATTAAATCTGGGTTCCAAGACGATAATAAATCCGTTCTGTGTTAAAGCCAGTGCTGCGATGGCTAAATTAAGACGTCCCAAGGTCTGTGAGTATATGCGTATAGTAGAAATAAAATCCACTGTAAGATGAAAATAATACCGCGAAATTTTAATGTGAATGAATTTTTGGAAAATTTTTGTATTTGTTATTATACTGTATCAGGGATTTACGTGAACGGAATAATGTTCCTTTGATAATAATTAACTTGGACTATCTGTCAAATCCTTTTGTGTTCTGCAATTTGTGAGTATATTCAAAATAGAATCGGTATTCGTTAATTATTATACTGAATCGTCTCTTTGGGATGATTATTCAGTTCTAACGATATTAAGCCTCGACGACCTAAGCCTTTCAATTAAATCATACCATCGCATTGTCCATTAGGAACATACCCGACTGTGTATTAAATAATTCAATTAATTGTACACGTCAGTCCGTTACATATGCTGTGTACACACAGTGAATATTACATTGATATACGTAGGGGTGGGTGGGCTAAGATAGACATGGTGGGACAAAATGGGCTACGCATAGAAATAATTGAAGATGCTCAGGTAAAAAAAATATGATCAATTCAAAATTTTAATTTCAAACTCATGCTGATTCTATGCTGATCAAGCGATCATATATGATTTATATATTTTTGTTGTTGGAATGATTGTGGCATGTTTTTGGAATCGTTCTGACGACATTAGCTCCTTAAAGGGCCCGTCTTACCCTATCTGCCCCTATGTTTAGATATTCACTTCGTGAAATATGTATTTAAATCTAAGGATGAATCGGATTGGATTCTGTAATATGATAAGCTTATAACAATAATAATCATAACTCTGCCCGTTAACCGCTTGACTGGTAAGTGTGCAATATCGCGTTAAAGGTGTCTTGGTGCAAACTACTATTGCGCATCAACTATATTCTTTTTGTTATTATTTTGAAATTTTTCTTTCAATTCATTTAGACTCACCTACTGAGTTCTTCAAGGCTACGTAAGAAGTCGATAGCTTCTGACATGTTTTGTATCCTCTTGACAGTTTCCACTTGAAAGGATTCATTTCCGGGTCTGAGACCTTGATAAATCTGTTGTAATCGTAAAAGACCTGGAACATAGAAATGGTAGATTCTACGTCACTGCAAAAGTAAATTGAAATGGGCATTGTACAGATATTCCGAGAACGATATAGAAATTCGGTTTCGTATAGGCGATGAGCGAGGATATTAAATTGGATTGCTAAAACGATTGGAATTTAATTTATTGATAAATTAAAATTGCAAGAACGAGAGATCTCTCCGTAGGAATTTGTCATGGTTGGTGCTGATAAACATTTCTCTATTTTCGGAAAGCAGAGAAAAATATATTTCAAAAATAAAATCAAACCCGTTGCGTTACAGCAGACGACGCGACGCAAATGTGCCCAACTAAAAAGAGTCGCGTCGATGAGAACCTGGCAAAACCTTTTAGGTCATGACATTTTAAATCGTCACGCAGGTGCTTCGTGGTTTCGATTGCAAAAAGTTCCAATGCCAGTGGCACATTTTGTACGTTGTTTAATTTTTCACTGATCCATTATTACCTAGGAAAATGGAACAATCGCTCTCGGTAAATACGTAGATCACGTTGGTCATCCGTGATCAACATTTGACACGTGAATATTAATTGAAATATATATATGTACATACTGGATTGACGGATGTTTTAAGCCTGTTTTGATATGTGTAAAAAAAATCGGCGGTAGAGATAAGTTTTATGTAATCTGCAGTTATCACTCGTGTGATATATCGAGTAATTTTTAGAATCGTACATATGGATGGAGGTTATCATAAAAAACAAAATGACGGATTATCATTAAAAAATATTCCATGCAAACGAATACAATATATGGGATTACGGATTATGGTGGAAATATTCCAATTTTTATGTCAATACTAACTTCAAATGCTATGGTACAAAGTACAAATCCGACTGCGAGTGGTTAATCAATCAAGCGTTGATTCTTACAAATAGCCAATCACGTGTCCATGTTGCGTGTATCAAAATTGGTAATTAACTGTAGCGCGATGCAATTTTTTCATTAGTCGCATAATATACAGCAGTAACAGTCAAATGAAATAATTCGCTTCCAAATAACCCGCTGTGCATTGAAATGTTTGATTTTGAAATTGCGGGTAAAAAATAAAGAAGAATTATTACCGTATTAGTATTAATATATTCTTACTGTAATATCAAAGTGGTATTTTAGGAAGTAGGAGTATCACGAGTATCAACATTTTTGGAATGTTGAAAAGGATACTTTTAATTTTTGAAACACCCTGTATAAGAGGGATCCGTTCAATGTGGTTTCACAAATGAAAAAAATCGATACAGGATGGTCGTAACGTTCCTGAATGCAAAACCAAGGGCCATTTTATGCGTAGGCAGTTTATGCGGATGTGAATGGAAACGAGGGAATCCTAGAGTAATTGATTTCACTCATATAAGAGGTCATGAGAAATTGTGACAATTAAAGTTCTCGCTGCACCAGGCATAACTATTCTTCATATTCTTACTACTTCACAGTGTAAAATTGTTAAAATGTAAAATTTTAAGTACAATATTAATTAGCCATCTACAGCAGTACTTTTAGAATAGTGGCAATTATATGGAAAATTTTTCGATTTTACTCTTTCATGTAAATTGTTTAGCCTTAGAAATAGGCAGAATCGGAATCCACGTACTATTACACCGCGAAACATAGGCTCACTGCTTTAATTAAATGGCGCCGAACCGTCCTGATTTATTGAAACCGCAGGTTGGTAGCGGGCGGGCATCTAGGTCTCTGCAGCCGTTTCTATGAGTACACGTGCACCTGCTTTCCAATTCGTACAACCTGAGTTCTAGGAAACTTTCCTAGTTATAGAATTATATATTAAAATTATCCATACTGTACACGAGAATGCAAATGAGAATGTGATTGCAGTTAGTGAAAATTCATTAATTAAATATAACCATAATTCAATTAAGCAATTAACTAATTTTCCATTACCAACATCATGAATATGTATTTTGCATTCGGTGCCATAAACAATTTCAATATTTTAGTATAAAAATTTACAATCTTCTATTTAGTGTGCTATCAATGAATTCTCCATATTTCCATACATCAAAATACGTAACCACGATATAAATAATAACAGTGACTGCAATAGTATCCATAATGACTTTGTTACGTTATCATTTTACATGACCATATGGAACAAATAAATGTTACGTTTCCATTAATGAATATTTCAAGAAGTGTGACAACACTTTTCTTTAGGTTCTTATAATATGAACGTGATGAAATTAGGTCGTGTCAAGTCCTTTTGAGATTTTTATTGTGTAAAACTTTCGAAAAACTAGATTCTGAAAACAATCAAATTAGCTAAATAGTACAGATTTACTCGACTTTTAAAATCGTTATGAATTTACTTGAGATATAATCGAATACTCGTAAGGTATAGGACCTGATAAGTTCCTACTGAAAATCCATTGCTTTCATCAGTCGGGTGACTCCTCGTTAGAGCTGACTTGTGGGAATTCAAGTAACAGAGTGTTTCCACCCTCTTGAATTCGGTCAGCGCTGAAATCGCAACCCCGAATAGTTGCCGAACTATAAAAATCCGTCGCAGTAAAGCAGTTGGGTTTACTATTGAGAAATTGAGAGTACCAACCATCCAACCATGCAGTCGTCCAACCGTCCAACCATCCAATCTACCATTCAACCTGCTACCGCACCTACAAACGTAATGGACCAGTCTCATCCCCGTATAGCAATCCGGTGGCGAACTATTAATTCCAATGAAATGACATGGCAAGTCCACATGATAAATTTTACATGGTACTCAATTCCTTGTCACCCTTTAAATCTGTACTAAAGTGTACACCCATACGTCACCAAAGAAGGCTCCTATACGAAAAAATATAAAATTTTGACCACCATAATAAATTATTATAAACGTGGCAAAAGTTTTACGTTCAAAGAGCTTGAAATGAAAGCGAGTTTAAATAAATAAATTGAATCCCTGTAAAATTTTGATTACAAGTTGCATGATAAAAAAAATGATAATAAGGGGTAATTTGGATCGGTCTTGCCGGATGGTTCTTACCTACATAAAGGACAATGGATGTAATTAGTACAGACGATTTCGAAACTCACGAAGCGTCGCAAAAAGACAAACGGGAGCCGCGTGGGCGTGAGCAGGGGGCTGCTGCTCAAATTTTAATTAATAGCGGTTTATATGACCCCTTCTTTGTACGTTAGCTGATGAAAGTTAATTGCATACGTATTCCGTACAAAGACATGACCATCGTCCTCCTCTATATTCGCAACAAGACGCGTATCATCCGATCGTACAGAAATTTGCAGGACAATATCACGATATTAAGAAATAAACATGTCAAGTCCATATTTTTTACATTAATTTCAACCGATGCAATTATAAAATAATACATATTTTTATGCGATCAATATGTTGTTTACATAAACGCGAAGAATCCTCTTTGCAAATTACGTCACTACAGAAGGCTCGACAGAGTATCTATTTCTGGCTAGCAATTCATGGCATAATATATAAGCGAGTAAATGCATGTAGCTGACAATATTCAAATCCAATATAAACCTACTTCTACCCCCAATACCCTTTTGCCTCTTCCTATGAAGCCTCTCTCTCTCTCTCTCTCTCTCTCTCTCTCTCTCTCTCTCTCTCTCTCTCTCTCT